GACATCGTTTGTTTCCGCATCCCTTGCAAGAGCCCACAGACGAAGAGCCTGATTTAGAGGATATCACCAGCAAGTCTTTAAGGCTTTTGGGCCTACGGAAAGCCAGTACAGGTGGATCGGGAAGAATCTTGGATAGTTTAGAGTGCTTTATATAGACGTTTTATATATCTTACTGATGAAGGATATTAGTTATCCGAAATATTTAACATTTGTTCATGATTTTACTTTTTTTTGGTGATGTTGTACCCTTTTAAACTTGCTTATTATATATTATATTTTGTAGTGTACTGTATCATAATTATATGAAACTCGACCGAATGTGAAATTTTGAAATTAAAACAAATTGTTCAAAACAAAGAATATACAAGACTGTTTTCGGTATAAACATCACTGACATTCAAAAATTAAAAGTACAAAGAACACCACTAAAAACAAAACAAAAAGCAACACGAACCACATTTTAAAAACACTATGGATGATGTCGGGTGCTCCGGGAGGGTAAGCAGATCCTGTTCCACATGAAACACCACTCGTGTAGCTCATGCAAGTACACAACCGGTGATAAGTCTAATTCGGTGCGTCACATTCGAGGAATAAAAGCCTCATATTTGAACAACACATGCATGGCCTCTTGTATTAACAATCTACGTCAAGTTACATATATAGCACGCATTTTACGAATTAACGTATTTAATTCACGAAAAGCGTAGCTGCAACCGGTAACCGCTAATAAACTTGATAAGATTGAAACCTGCAATCAATTTGATTCGTTGGGGGATCACCATAAAGCATATAGAAAGTGTGTATAGAGTAACATGTGACCAGCATTATTGTTTCTCGCTAGAAAAGATAATTTTCATAAAAAAGGTTGATCAACTTTAATTTGTTTGTGAATTTAGTTGTATAACATTATTAATAAATGTATATAACTTTTAAAGGTTTAAAACAGCTGTCCATATGTGTATCTTTTCAACTGAAAATAAAATATTTTGTGACGTTGATTTATTTATAAAACGACAGTTTTGCTCATCCCAAAATATTGAATATTTGTAACCAACTATATGCTACGGTGACCTATAGTTGTTGAATTCTATGTCATTTGGTCTCTTTTGGAGAGTTGTCTCATTGGCAATCATACCACATCTTCTTATCTTTAAACGAATAACAAAATTAAATTCATCTTACCTCCTATACATTTCTAGGAATATGATTTGATAAAAGCGAACGCATGGAGACACTGTATATTAAATATGGGGATTAGTGGGCGTGGTTTATTTTAACATTGAGTTAGTAGCAGTGTCACGTCCCTTGTAAAAACAGCATGACTTTGAAGAAAAATCTGAACGTTTCGCCCAAACAACAGACGAAGAAATTGATGATGAACGACTGTATAGACCAAAGGAAGTAAGTTCTTAATATTGAAGACTTAATCACTTTGATAGGTCACTAGTCTAAATGCCACATGTTATGATAGTCGGTAAGGTAAATTCGTTACACAGTGTGTTGGTGACCTAATATGATATATATGGGGACAATAAATTCCATATGGGGTGAGAGCGAGGAATTTACTGACCCCATATATATTCGAGCTTCGTTCTCACCCCATATAGAAAGTAATGACCGCATATATATTCAAGCTTCGCTCTCACCCCATATAGAATTTACTGACCCCATATATATCGTATTAGGTCACTAACACACTGTGTAACTAATAATATTACTGCAATGATTATCAGATTGCGGCTTCTGTAATATATGTGTACGAGTACTTTCAAGACTTAGCGTAAAAAATCTATAACCGTGCTACAAAAAAAGATATATACAGCGTGAACACGATATGTATTCTTCTATCATGTGTGGACATTTAAACACTATAACAAATAGTAAACACTCTAACTATCAAGCACGCTATGGACAACACATGACAGCACTGAACAAAATGAACGCACAACATATGCCAGCACTGAACAAAAAGAACACACAGTGCATACCAACATTGAAAAAGGGAAAACACAGCACATGTCAGGACGGATCAAACAGAACACGCAGCAAACAGCACATGTCAGCAACTGAACAAAAAAAAAAACGCACATGACCAATCGTTTATGAATTTGGTGAGTTCTCATGATTATGATTTTATAGTAGTAATAAGACGGGTGTGGAATGTGGAGCAGGATCTGCTTACCCTTCCGGAGCACATGAGATCACCCCCAACCCCTGCTTTTGGTTTGGTTCGTGTTGCTCTGTCTTTATAAAAATAAGAAGATGTGGTATGATTGCCAATGAGGCAACTCTCCACGTAGTTTTGTATACTGTTGTTTGTCTTTTGATCGTTATTCGGTTTTTTTTTGCCATTGCATCGGCAGTTTGTTTTCGACTTATGAGTTTGAATGTCCATTTGGTATCTTTTGCCTCTCTGTTATGAACGTTTGTTTTCGACTGATGAGTCTGAATGTCCCTTTGGTATCTTTTGCCCCTCTGTTATGAGCACTAATTTACAAAAATATTAGTGAATCGTGCGGTACGTAGTACGTCTACTCGTTTTTCTTCATTATATCAACGAAGAACAACAATAAAAGTGCTGTTCCTTTGCTTTGATGTTTTTCATGGTGGCGTAGTGATTTTGTTTCTGTTTTTTTCCTTATTAAGTTCATCTGTTTCGAGTATGATAATTCAGATCAGGCCAGTGGAACTTTACGAATATTCAACATCGGATTAAACATGGATCACACAGAACTTTGGCGGAATATTTTCCTATAATTAAAGCCTTCGTAGGTCAAACCATTCTAAAATTGTCCGTTTATAAATTTTAAAATTAAAAAAAAGTTGACCTTAAATGGATTTAGCTATTGTTTTTAGGTACTTTTTGGTCATATAGCTCTTCAACTGTTTCGGTCCTTATACATCCTCGGCTTTCAAATATTTTACTTTGAGCGTTCCTGATGAAGGAAAATCTAGAAAAGCGCTTCGGACGCATGAAATTAATAACATGCTGTTTTCATTTATTTTATTATTCAACATCGTTTGCTTCAACGTTTTTTATCGGATGTTTTTTTTTTACTATCCGATGGAAAGCAAACGATATGGACCTACGAAAGCTTATATTATAGGACTACACATTCCCCAAGCGCATGTGACCTTAACAGTTCTGTCTTATAGTAATAACCATTGCTTGTGCGTGAAGAAATATTGTTCGTAATCTAAACTTTCGTTTCATTGCTTGACCTGGTCGCACTAGCTTCCATTTAAAAAAAATATATTACATAAAAATTGTTATAAACAAGAAAATTTCACGACAAAAAACATCGCTTCATACATTTGTTTCGCGTATAAGATCTTTTCGGCACGAATAGCTTATCTATTTTTGTCACGAGACCTAACTGTGTTTTCGGTATATTAGATTTTTTGCAGGTTTTTTTTAAATTTTATTTAGGAGGTCTCTGAAATTACTTCCAACTTACAGCCTCGTTTGAAAGTAATACGGGGCCAATGACCAATTTCCCCTGAATTTCTCGGATATTCTTATACATGATCTAGAAGCATTAATCTCCCATTTACATACCAAATAAAAGTACTGTTCTTATTTGATTAGAGTACTTTACATTAGAACAGTTTAAGCTATATCGAATGTACTTTTTTCTTTAGGGGGGGGGCTAGAATGAAAAACTTTGTCCTGCATTTTTTTTAGTGGTAATCTCTGTCCTGCATTTTTATTTTTCACTCTAGTCGGTCCTACTTTTTTTATTAGTTTATCCTGACTTTTTTTACATAAATTGTCATCCTGTCTTTTTTTTTTTGCCAAGTTGCTCATCCCATGGCCCCCCATAAAAACAAATGGTAGCTCCCTTATTGCGATTTCAGGGAATGCTTCATACAAATAATGATATTGAAATTAAAAATTGTTTTTTTCGCAAAACTTTACACAATAACAAAAATATCTGAAACTTTTCTGATTTTACGGTATTAGTATTATGTAACCGAATGAACTATTAATTCAGAAAACAAGTTTCTTATATTACCCAAATGTAAAATTGTCCTTGAAATAATAAAAGTACCCTTTAGTAAATTTTCTAAATGGTGTGTATTTGATTTTTTTTGTACACAGCACATCTGACCAAAATCCAGATTTGTCTTAGCTCGCTTACTCGTCGAAGGAGCAGAGCAAAAATAATCTATTTCTAAATTAGATTGGGCCACTTCAATCCTTTTTTGGTCGGTTGAGCCTCTGAAACATCAAGTGCAACACCTTTTTAATATGTTTTGTTTGATTATCAAAAGTGGTATACCCTCTCATATATTTTTCAGCAAAAATAGACGTATATCTATAATAAAATTACGCTTTTTTCATGGAGATAAACTAGATTTATAAATATTTGATTCATTTTCGATTTTGGTTTTAATCACATCTTCAATAAATATAAATACTATCAGTTGATTCATTGATTTATCTGGTACTTATGATATAATCAACAACCTCATCATATGATTAATCTACCCCCCCCCCCTTTTATCATATATTACGAAGCTCGAAAAAGGAACCTACTCCAGCGACTTATCCCTATCACTCATTACATAGTTAGTGCCACCCGCCAAATTGGGAAAGAATTTTTTTCTTGCTCTTCGTCACCTTTATGTTCCTAAGTAAAAAAATCAGCGATTCTGTACAATACTCCTTTGGAAAATGTAACCCCTTTTCCTCATTGTCTCAGTTTTTTCTTTAAATTTACCAAATGTAGTACACATCAATTTGGCATTATTAAAAAAAATATATTATCAATAATTGATTGCAGTGGATTTCATTCAATTGTTTTGGTATAAGTAATTGTTTACATGCTTATTTATACTAGCCAGCGGCAACATTCTTGACATTTAATTTGAGGGTTATATACAGGTCAGTGTATTCTTGGTCATAGTATTACACCTGTAATAAATACAACCTTTTACTGGTCAAGTATGACGAATAGGTCAGTTAAACCACCATTAAATATTTGTAAGGAGGTCTGTGAGAGAAATACTTCGGAAAATGGAACAAAGCAATGAGAAACAAAGTTATGCATTTACAGCGGATACTTCCGAAGTTCCATATCAAGCTATACCTTATCTTCTAAGGGACAATGCTAAAATATGTCCAGATCGTGAGGCTATTGTTTTCCTATCAACAACAGGAGAAAGAAGTTGCGTTAAATATCAAGAACTTCACGATCGTGCAAAATATTTTGCTAAAGGACTTTTGGAGACGGGAATCAAAAGAAACGATGTAGTCGCCATTTCGAACAAAAACTGCGTGGAATGGGCTATAAGTTCATTGGGAGTACAAATGGCAGGCGCAATACCACTACATTTCTTTTTTAAGCGTTTAGACGGGTCGGATGTACTGGAAACATTGCATGGAATACCAAAATGTTCAACATTAATTATTGAACCGGGTCATCTGGATAAGAATGTTGGTATATGCAAAAAGTTTGCGTGTAGCTTTCAACCAGAAATTAGCAGCTCTATATCAAGTAAGTCATTGGCTGATTTATACCAGGTATTGTTACTGCAACCTTCTGACAACGGAACACGATGCTCTACTGTTGCCGACCTCATAGAAAAGGGAAAAGTTTCAAATAATGCTCTTCCTTTAATATCACCAGATGACATTGCTGCAATATTTCTCACCTCTGGTAGTACTGGAATCCCAAAGGCAGTTCCTCACACTCATTTATCGCTGATTCGAAGTTTGTATGATTTTGGAAACTACATGGATCTAGAACCTTGCACTAGATATTATAATGATCGACCCTTTAGTTGGCTTGGTGGCTACCCTGGTGTATACATGGTTCACCAGTCCACACGAGTTACTGCAAGTGATATCATGGCATTAAAGACCATTGACGAAATAAACTGTTTTACCACAAAAGCACTTGAGGCAGAAAAGTGTACCGTGGCTTTGTTGATAACTCCATGTTTACACGATATGATGCATAACAAATTACCACCGTGTAAACAATGGCCAATGAAAGTGATTGCAACTGGAGGTTTGCCAGTGGAATCATCATGTACTAAAGCAGCAGGTGTTATTGCTGACAAGGTTGTTGTGGTGTATGGTATTACCGAGGTTGGATTTGCCTCCACCATGTCGGTTTCAAATCCAAATGATTTTGAAGATCACTCAATCGGGTATCCAGCACCAGGGGTTGAACTGAAAATAGTAGACGATGAAGGGAACATTGTAACAAAGGGAACTTCCGGAGAAATATACTTTCGTAGTAGAGATCGTTTTCAAGGTTACATGAATAATAAGGAAAAAAGTGTCTTATGTTCAGACAAGGCCGGATGGTATAAGACTGATGATATTGGAGTTATGAGAGAAAATGGTAGTTTTGTTATCACAGGGCGGAAATCCGACATGATGATTATTGGTGGCCTTCTTGTGTCCCCACTTTATGTCGAAAACATTATTAAGAAACATCCCATGGTCGTTGATGCTTACATATATCCTGTGCATAATGATAAAATGTTTCAGTGTGCATATGCTGCGATTGTTGTTGAACCGGAAGGAGCACTCCGTGAAGAAGATCTAAGGAATTATATTGTGCAACAACAATCGGGAAACCGAGATTCATTTCTTGCAAAACGTTACATTCCAGAACATTTTATCTTCTACAAAGAACTGCCGCACACACATAATGGGAAGTTAGATAGAAAAGCCACGGCTTTGATGATTAAATCAACTAAAGGTATCATATCAACATGACAAACACCCTCAGAGATATTTTTTATTCAAAATAGATTTTATCAGTTGTATATATAAGCAGATTTTACTAAATAATCGTAGCCATTAAATATTCCTTTCTTCTTAATGTGTTTTAATTTTAGCTCCACTGCTCAACTATTAAGTTCACAAGAAGGAATTTACAAATATGGCCGTGTTTACCCAAAAAATTACCTAGACAAACCTGACCACCTAGAAAAGATTTGAGGCATGCATGACAGGAACTGGATAAATAAATTTAAAATGCATTTTATGTATCAGAAAATTAAAAACTTTATCTTAACTTGAGTAAATTTTATTGATAAAACATTGTCGTATTTGTCAATTCCTTCTAATGAACCTTAACCGTGTGAACTTTTGCCCTCACATGGCGTCTGTCTTTCAAGGGTAATATGTAAAATGCGTAAAATTATTTTGAAGTGTGTATCTTAAATTAAATCTCATAGACCTAGTATAAAAGCCCTTACATAATATATACCGATAGCCTTCTTAAATGATCAAGATGTCTTTAATTTTGCAAAAAGAAACAAACAAAAAAAAAAAATTGTAAAAAGTATGTACTACAATTCTTCTAAAATCAATAGTATTTTTTTTTAATTATTATTTTTGCAGATGATAATTTTAGGAAAAAAATATTTTATGAGCTAGCAACATGTCAATATCGCTGATATCCGGGGAATATTGGTTTCCAAAAAGAATTATGATGAAAAGTGCAAAAGGCTATTTAAGAATCTCCTTCTCTGCGACCAAATTGTTAATGTTTATTAAGAAGATATTGATATAAATTTCAAATGTTACAGCTGAAGTAATCTTTTCAAAAATTTTAGGCACGTCATCATGATGAGGTTGACCGATGACGTTATGGAATATCTGTCTGACAGATACGATATTGTTCGCTTATTATAGCAACAATCCCGTACTTATCTTCTCTTTAGTGACACCACCGAATGCTACTTGGCACTGGAATTCTTTTCCTTTTTTTACACGATGGTTGACAACAGATGTGAAGGAATTGATTACATTTCCAGAGCACCTGTTTGCCAGTTTGTTTTGTGGGGTTTATATGTCTGCATCATTATATTCTGTTTGTTTTAATTTTTTTTCTAGTTCATGTTTGTTTGGCCATGGTGTTGTCTTTCATTCATCGATTGAAATTGAAAAAAAATATCCTCATTTTATAACAATTTCTGTAACGGGAGACAAATAGAGTTTTCCTTAGTCAGGAGCATGCTGTTAAGTGGTTGTCGTTTGTTGGTGTGGTTCATAGGTGTTTCTCGTTTTTTATATAGATTAGACCGTTGGTTTTCCTGTTTGATTTTTTTTACACTAGTCATTTTGGGGTCCTTGAAGTTGAAATCATCCCTTCGTAAATTTTACGGACGCCATCACGAGTTGGTTGACCGTTACGAAATAACCGTTTCACAGATGATATCGGATATGTTCCTTATGTCGTAACTACAATACCCTTCCCTTTTCACGAAGGTAACCTACCGAATTATACTATTTACCGGATTTGTAATAACATAAGCAACACGACGGGTGCCACATGTGGAGCAGGATCTGCGTACCCTTCCGGAGCACCTGAGATCACCCCCAGTCTTTGGTGGGGTTCGTGTTGCTTAGTCTTTAGTTTTCTATGTTGTGTCATCTGTACTATTATTTGTCTGTTTGTCTTTTTATTTTTGACCATGGCGTTGTCAGTTTGTTTTCGATCTATGAGTTTGACTATCCCGCTGGTATCTTTCGTCCCACTTTTTGCTGTTCGGTGTGAGCCAAGGCTCTGTGTTGAAGGCCATACTTTGACCTATAATTGTTAACTTTTTATACATTGTAACTTAGATGGAGAGTTGTTTCATTGGCACTCATACCACACCTTCTTATTTATATTGTCTTTCCTATATCAGAAAAAAAACTATACGAACTTGCTATGTTTGATTAATGATTACAGCTTCATGAGTCATATTTCATGATAGGATTTCAAATAGAAAATTGTATCTAGACTTTTTTTACCGATCCGCGTGTAGTCATTGGTGTAAATTTTGAGATACTTCCTGTGTTGCCCGATAATAGAGGCCTATTTGATGTACTAGCAGTGTTTTAAATTTCATGAAAAATAAGCTAAGCTATGCGGTTTGAGTTGACAAAAATATAAAATTGTGTGATTTTCCGTTTTGCATTAGCTTTTCTTGTAAAATTTCAGGGTATGTCGAACAAAGCGGTATAAGTCAGACCGTTATCAGTATTTCAGATCTATGACTGTAGAAAATTAAATAAAAAATAAATGTTTGTTCGTATAAAAATAAATAAGAAAACATTTCATACGGAAATTCATCTAGAAGTAAACCTTTGTATTGTCTTTCAGAAACATGTCAAATGTTTAAATGCAAGAATTCATCAAACCTGTCATCAACCTGAGAATAGTATACTACACTTTACAATATAGTATGTCCAAGCATCAATTATAACTGTTATCGTTAAATTATTTTGACTTAAATTTATGGATATTCCTAGAATCTATGGATACTCCTAAAATGGTGAAACCTCTGAAATATATCGTTTAGACGCTTAAAAGTTTATATACAGAATAAACTAATCTGAAAGACAAAAGTTTTAAATCCAAAGGTTAACATCGAGTAGGTTTCGTATTTCCGGCATTAGTTTCATACTTTAATGTTGTTTCAAAATTTCTTTGCCAAATTTAAAAAAAAGTAAAATAACAAATATACCGAACGGTAAATTCAATACGGAAAGTCCGTTATCAAATGACAAAATCAAAAGCTCAAACGCATCAAGCGAATGGAAAACAACTGTCAAGTTCCTGACTTGGTACAGACATTTCCTTATGTAGGAAATTATAATTTACTTTTATTTTATGTGACTTATTTGATTTACAATATGTGTCTGTCATTATAATAATTTTCAAATTGGATAAGAGCCCTATTAATATCAATTATCTGTTAGCATCAAACAACCAGCGACTAAGTCAATTTGCATGAATTGCTTAATATTGCACAAATTGTTGAAATCTGACCCCTAGTACACTATTACATTAAAATAATTGAGACGAAGCAGCCCAAAAATTGAGTAACGAAGGTCATTATTTTTTGATAGCAACCATGTTTTCTGTATATTGAAAAACAATAAAAATACAAACATTTGAATTTGAAAAATGGCGCCAAAATAAAACGATAACTCTTAACATGTATGATTGATTGTCCATTGTAAATGACCTTTACCTTTTTAAAATTAACAAATGTAAAAGAAGGTTACATAAATCTTAACACAGAGATATGTCTCGCCTTTTTGCTATTTCGATAGTAAAATGCAAATGTTGAAATTAAAATAGCAATATTTTAACATGTAAGTCAAGCAAAATATTCAAAGTCAATGAACCATGAGGGGGCGGGGCAAAATAGTTTCCATGGAAATAAGATGTGCCAATGCAAATACAACTGCATACCAAATATCATGACCTACCACTAGTGATTCCCAAAAAACTGACATAATCACAAACTAATTCATGTACACAAAGTCAAGAGACCATGACTGAGGGGATGGGGCCTAATAATTTCCAAAAATTGAATACGAGACAAAATAAATTATTTATCATTGAATGTTATTCCTAATAAAATAGAGAAACAGGTTATTTTTTTATATCTATAAATTTTGATCTTTATTTTATCGATTTTGACAGTATTTATACATGTTGTATTACGTTTGTCTGAATACTCTTTCTAATTTCATTTGCATACGTAGTTGAAGGTGGATATGAGCCGAGGAAGTGGTGCAATCCTCCCCCCCCCCCCCCCCCCCCCCCGCCACTTTCAAAACTTTCAAAATGGGGGAAAGAGAAGACAAAACATAACTATTGTTTGGTTTGGCTTTGTTTGTTTGTACGTATGTATGCTTTTTTTCTTGGTGTGGAGGGGTATATATAAAAGTAGGGGCGTAGGAGCAGGGAAAAGGGACCATAACCTCATTATACACTTGGCAATTTATTTTGTTAATAGAATATAAAGTGGATACGAAAGAGGACATTAACTTATTTCTAGACTATTAGATTATTATGATAGAAACTGATATGTATCAAAGGAACAAGCATTAATTTTACTCGCACACAGCTTATAGAATTGAGAAGCGCTATCGTTAACGCAAAATCCCTAATTCATTAAAGACTAATATCTCCAAACATCGTGGTACATATACCGGTATGCACATTTTTTGTGTTCAATCTCTTTAATTATGCAATTGTCTTAAATGCAAAATGTATTACTTTCTAATTAAGGTCTTTTATTTTTTGTTTGTCACTTTAAGAAGTCCCCACTCCCTTTCTCAACTTTTCAATCTACTCCTACTTCACTGATATGTATTAAAGGAATAAGCAATAATTTTACTCGCGCACAGCTGATAGAATTGAGAAGCGCTATTGTTAATGCAAAATCCCTAATTTATTAAAGACTAAATATCTCCAAACATCGTGGTACATAAACCGGTATGCACAGTTTTTGTGTTTAATCTCTTTAATTATGCAATCGTCTTAAATACAAAATGTATAACTTTCTAATTAAAAAGGTCGTACAAGTCAGGACATTAACTTATTTCTAGACTATTAGACTATTATGATAGAAAATATAGAACAAAGGTCTTTTATTTTTTGCTTGTCACTTTAAGAAGTCCTCACTCCCTTTCTCAACTTTTCAATCTACTCCTACTTCACTGATATGTATCAAAAGAATAAGCAATAATTTTACTCGCACACAGTACAGCTGATAGAATTGAGAAGAGCTATTGTTAACACAAAATCCCTAATTTATTAAAGACTAAATATCTCCAAACATAAACCGGTATGCACATTTTTTGTGTTTAACCTCTTTAATTATGCAATCGTCTTAAATGCAAAATATATTACATTCTAAATAAAAACGTTGTACAAGTCAGATACAAAACAAAAGTAACAAAATAAACGGGATGGTAACAACCAGTCGTGCAGTTTTTCTGCACTTGTAGTCAGGTCAAGGTAGCTCAGGACCTTAACCTGACTACAAGTGCAGAAAAACTATACGGCAACGGTTGTTACCAGCCTACTTTTTGTTACCTTTGTTCTGTATCTAATACTTGTCTTCATGCTTATTTATATACTAGCCAGAGGCAACATTCTTTACATTTAATTTGAGGAGTATAATTATATAGGTAATTTTGGTCATTGTATTACACCTGTAATGAATACAACTTTTTACTGGCCACGTATGACGAATGGGTTGGTAAAATCACTTCGAAATATTTGTTAAGAAATTTGTGAGAGAAATACTTCGGAAAATGGAACAAAGCAATGAGAAACAAAGTTATGCATTTACAGCGGATACTTCCGAAGTTCCATATCAAGCTATACCTTATCTTTTAAGAGACAATGCTAAAATATGTCCAGATCGTGAGGCTATAGTTTTCCTATCAACAACAGGAGAAAGAAGTTGCGTTAAATATAAAGAACTTTACGATCGTGCAAAATATTTTGCTAAAGGACTTTTGGAGACGGGAATCAAAAGAAACGATGTAGTCGCCATTTCGAACAAAAACTGCGTGGAATGGGCTATCACTTCATTGGGCGTACAAATGGCAGGCGCAATACCACTACATTTCTTTTTTAAGCGTTTAGACGGGTCGGATGTACTGGAAACATTGCATGGAATATCAAAATGTTCAACATTAATTATTGAACCGGGTCATCTGGATAAGAATGTTGACATATGCAAAAAATTGGCGTGTAGCTTTCAACCAGAAATAAGCAGCTCTATATCTAGTAAGTCATTGGCTGATTTATACCAGGTCTTGTTACTGCAACCTTCTGACAACGGGACACGATGCTCTACTGTTGTCGACCTCATAGAAAAGGGAAAAGTTTCAAATAATGCTCTTCCTTTAATATCACCAGATGACATTGCTGCAATATTTCTCACCTCTGGTAGTACTGGAATCCCAAAAGCAGTTCCTCACACTCATTTATCGCTGATTCGAAGTTTGTATGATTTTGGAAACTACATGGATCTAGAACCTTGCACTAGATATTATAATGATCGACCCTTTAGTTGGCTTGGTGGCTACCCTGGTGTTTACATGGTTCACCAGTCCACACGAGTTACTGCAAGTGATATCATGGCATTAAAGACCATTGACGAAATAAACTGTTTTACCACAAAAGCACTTGATAAAGAAAAGTGTACCGTGGCTTCGTTGATAACTCCATGTTTACACGATATGATGCATAACAAATTACCACCGTGTAAACAATGGCCAATGAAAGTGATTGCAACTGGAGGTTTGCCAGTGGAATCATCATGTACTAAGGCAGCAGGTGTTATTGCTGACAAGGTTGTTGTGGTGTATGGTATTACCGAGGTTGGATTTGCCTCCACCATGTCGGTTTCAAATCCAAATGATTTTGAAGATCACACAATCGGGTATCCAGCACCAGGGGTTGAACTGAAAATAGTAGACGATGACGGGAACATTGTAACAAAGGGAACTTCCGGAGAAATATACTTCCGCAGTAGAGATCGTTTTCAAGGTTACATGAATAATAAGGAAAAAAGTGTTTTATGTTCAGACAAGGCCGGATGGTATAAGACTGATGATATTGGAGTTATGAGAGAAAATGGTAGCTTTGTTATCACAGGGCGGAAATCCGACATGATGATTATTGGTGGCCTTCTTGTGTCCCCACTTTATGTCGAAAACATTATTAAGAAACATCCTAAGGTCGTTGATGCTTACATTTATCCTGTGCATAATGATAAAATGTTTCAATGTGCATATGCTGCGATTGTTGTTGAACCAGAAGGAGCACTCAATGAAGAAAATCTAAGGAATTATATAGTTCAACAACAAGCGGGAAAGCGAGATTCATTTCTTGCAAAACGTTACATTCCAGAACATTTTATCTTCTACAAAGAACTGCCGCACACACATAATGGAAAATTAGATAGAAAAGCCACGGCTTTAATGATTAAATTAACCAAAGGTATTACATCAACATGACAAACACCCTCAAAGATATTTTATTCAGTCAAAACAGATTGTATCAGTTGTATATATCAGTAGATTTTACTAAATAATCGTAGCCATTAAATATTCCTTTCTTCTTAATGTGTTTTAATTTTAGCTCACCCTCTCAACTATTAAGTTCATCACAAAAAGGAATTTACAAATATGGCCGTGTTTACCCAAGAAATTACCTAGACAAACCCGAGCACCTAGAAAAGATTTGAGGCATGCATGACAGGAACTGAATAAATAAATTTAAAATGCATTTTATGTATCAGAAAATTAAAAACTTTATCTTAACTTGAGTAAATTTTATTGATAAAACATTGTCGTATTTGTCAATTCCTTCTAATGAACCTTAGCCGTGTGAACTTTTGCCCTCACATGGCGTCTGTCTTTCTAGGGCAATATGTAAAATGCGTAAAATTATTTTGAGGTGTGAATCTTAATTAAATCCCATAGACCTAGTATAAATGCCTTTACATAATATATACCGATAGCCTTCTTAAATGATCAAGATGTCATTAATTTTGCAAAAAGAAACAAAAAAAAAAAAAAATTGTAAAAAGTATGTACTACAATTCTTCTAAAATCAATAGTATTTTTTTTTAATTATTATTTTTGCAGATGATAATTTTAGGAAAAAAATATTTTATGAGCTAGCAACATGTCAATATCGCTGATATCCGGGGAATATTGGTTTCCAAAAAGAATTATGATGAAAAGTGCAAAAGGCTATTTAAGAATCTCCTTCTCTGCGACCAAATTGTTAATGTTTATTAAGAAGATATTGATATAAATTTCAAATGTTACAGCTGAAGTAATCTTTCAAAAATTTTAGGCACGTCATCATGATGAGGTTGACCGATGACGTTATGGAATATCTGTCTGACAGATAGGATATTGTTCGCTTATTATAGCAACAATCCAGTACTTATCTTCTCTTTAATGACACCACCGAACGCTACTTGGCACTGGAATTCTTTTCCTTTTTTTACACGATGGTTGACAACAGATGTGAAGGAATTGATTACATTTCCAGAGCACCTGTTTGCCAGTTTGTTTTGTGGGGTTTATATATCTGCATCATTATATTCTGTTTGTTTTAATTTTTTTTTCTAGTTCATGTTTGTTTGGCCATGGTGTTGTCTTTCATTCATCGATTGAGATTGAAAAAAAAATGTCCTCATTTTATAACAATTTCTGTAACGGGAGACAAATAGAGTTGTCCTAAGTCAGGAGCATGTTGTTAAGTGGTTGTCGTTTGTTGGTGTGATTCATAAGTGTTTCTCGTTTTTTATTTAGATTAGACCGTTGGTTTTCCTGTTTGATATTTTTTACACTAGTCATTTTGGGGTCCTTTATAGCTTGCTGTTCGGTGTGAGCCAAGGCTCTGTGTTGAAGGCCATACTTTGACCTATAATAGTTAACTTTTGTGACTTGGATGGAGAGTTGTTTCATTAGCACTCATACCACATCTTCTTATTTATATTGTCTTTCCTATACCAGAAAAAAACTATAAGAACTTGCTATGTTTGATTAGTGATTACAGCTTCATGAGTCATATTTCATGATAGGATTTCAAATAGAAAATTGTATCTAGACTTTTTTTACCGATCCGCGTGTAGTCATTGGTGTAAATTTTGAGATACTTCCTGTGTTGCCCGATAACAGAGGCATTTTTGATGTACTAGCAGTGTTTTAAATTTCATGAAAAATAAGCTAAGCTATGCGGTTTGAGTTGACAAAAATATAAAAATTGTGTGTTTTTCCGTTTTGCATCAGCTTTTCTTGTAAGATTTCAGTTTATGTCGAACAAAACGGTATAAGTCAGACCGTTATCAGTATTTTTAGATCTATGACTGTAGAAAATTAAATAAAAAAAAAATGTTTGTTCGTATACAAATAAATAAGAAAACATTTCATACGGAAATTCATCTAGAAGTAAACCTTTGTATTGTCTTTCAGAAACATTTCAAATGTTTAAATGCAAGAATACATCAAACCTGTCATCAACCTGAGAATAGTATACTACACTTTACAATATAGTATGTCCAAGCATCAATTATAATTGCTATCGTTGAATTATTTTTGACTTAAATTTATGAGTATTCCTAGATGATCTATGGATAATCCTGAAATGGTGAAACCTCTGAAATATATCGTTTAGACGCTTAAAAGTTTATATATAGAATGAACTAATCTGAAAGATAAAAGTTTTAAATTCAAAGGTTAACATCGAGTAGGTTTCGTATTTCCGGCATTATTTTCGTACTTTAATGTTGTTTCAAAATTTCTTTGCCAAATTTAAAAAAAGGAAAATAACAAATATACCGAACGGTAAATTCTAAACGGAAAGTCCTTTATCAAATGGCAAAATCAAAAGCTCAAACGCATCAAGCGAATGGAAAACAACTGTCATGTTCCTGACTTGGTACAGACATTTCCTTATGTAGGAAATTATAATTTACTTTTATTTTATGTGACTTATTTGATTTACAATATGTGTCTGTCATAATAATTTTCAAATTGGATAAGAGCCCTATTAATATCAATTATCTATTAGCATCAAACAACCAGCGACTAAGTCAATTAGCATGAATTGCTTAATATTGCACAAATTGTTGAAATCTGACCCCTAGTACACTATTACATTAAAATAATTGAGATGAAGCAGCCCAAAAATGGAATAACGAATGTCATTATTTTTTGATAGCAACCATGCTTTCTGTATATTGAAAAAAACCCAATAAAAATACAAACATTTGAATTGAAAAATAGCGCCAAAATAAAACGATAACTCTTAACATGTATGATTGATTGTCCATTGTAAATGACCTTTACCTTTTTAAAATTAACAAATGTAAAAGAAGGTTACATAAATCTTAACACAGAGATATGTCTCGCCATTTTGCTATTTCGATAGTAAAATGCAAATGTTGAAATTAAAATAGCAATATTTTAACATGTAAGTCAACCAAATATTCAAAGTCAATGAACCATGAGGGGGCGGGGCAAAATAGTTTCCATGGAAATAAGATGTGCCAATGCAAATACAACTGCATACCAAATATCATGACCTACCACTAGTGATTCTCAATAAACTGAAATAATCACAAACTAATTCATTTACACAAAGTCAATAGACCATGACTGAGGGGATGGGGCCAAATAATTTCCAAAAATTGAATACGAGACAAAATAAATTATTTATAATTGAATGTTATTCCTAATAAAATAGAGAAACAGGTTATTTTTTTATATCTATAAATTTTGATCTTTATTTTATCGATTTTGACAGTATTTATACATGTTGTATTACGTTTGTCTGAATACTCTTTCTAATTTCATTTGCATACGTAGTTGAATTTTTAAATCCCTTAAATCTGTTATTCATATTTCTGTTGTTTATTTTGTTTTTGGGTTTCATTTGGGGATGGATATGAGCCGAGGAAGTGGTGCAATCCCCCCCCCCCCCCCCCCACTTTCAAAACTTTCAAAATGGGGGAAAGAGGAGACAAAACATAACTATTGTTTGGTTTGTTTTTGTTTGTTTGTACGTATGTATGCTTTTTTTCTTGGTGTGGAGGGGTATATATAAATGTAGGGGTGTAGGAGCAGGGAAAGGGGACCATAACTTCATTATACACTTGCAAAGGTGAGGGGCAAAACTATAAGACCCCATCTTTTTGGCAATTTATTTTGTTAATAAAATATAAAGTGGCTACGAAAGAGGACATTAACTTATTTCTAGACTATTAGATTATTATGATAGAAACTGATATGTATCAAAGGAACAAGCAATAATTTTACTCGCACACAGCTTATAGAATTGAGAAGCGCTATTGTTAACGCAAAATCCCTAATTTATTAAAGACTAAATATCTCCAAACATTGTGGTACATATAACGGTATGCACATTTTTTGTGTTCAATCTCTTTAATAATGCAATTGTCTTAAATGCAAAATGTATTACTTTCTAATTAAGGTCTTTTATTTTTTGCTTGTCACTTTAAGAAGTTCTCACTCCCTTTCTCAACTTTTTAATCTACTCCTACTTGACTGATATGTATTAAAGGAATAAGCAATAATTTTACTCGCGCACAGCTGATAGAATTGAGAAGCGCTATTGTTAACGCAAAATCCCTAATTTATTAAAGACTAAATATCTCCAAACATCGTGGTACATAAACCGGTATATAAGCACAGTTTTTGTGTTTAATCTCTTTAATTATGCAATCGTCTTAAATACAAAATGTATTACTTTCTAATTAAAAAGGTCGTTCAAGTCAGAACATTAACTTATTTCTAGACTATTAGACTATTATGATAGAAAATATAGAACAAAGGTCTTTTATGTTTTTGCTTGTCACTTTAAGAAGTCCTCACTCCCTTTCTCAACTTTTCAATCTACTCCTACTTCACTGATATGTATCAAAAGAATAAGCAATAATTTTACTCGCACACAGTACAGCTGATAGAATTGAGAAGAGCTATTGGTATCGCAAAATCCCTAATTTATTAAAGACTAAACATCTCCAAACATCGTGGTACATAAACCGGTATGCACATTTTTTGTGTTTAATCTCTGTAATTATGCAATCGTCTTAAATGCAAAATATATTACTTTCTAAATAAAAACGTCGTTCAAGTCAGATACAAAACAAAAGTAACAAAATAAACGGGATGGTAACAACCAGTCGTGCAGTTTTTCTGCACTTGTAGTCAGGTCATGGTCGCTCAGGACCTTAACCTGACTACAAGAGCAGAAAAACTATACGGCAACGGTTGTTACCAGCCTACTTTTTGTTACCTTTGTTCTGTATCTAATACTTGTCTTCATGCTTATTTATATACTAGCCAGAGGCAACATTCTTGACATTTAATTTGAGGAGTATAATTATATAGGTAATTTTGGTCATTGTATTACACCTGTAATGAATACAACTTTTTACTGGCCACGTATGACGAATGGGTTGGTAAAACCACTACGA